AAATAAAATAATTTAAATCAAAGGTCACGCAAACATACAATTTGAACGCATTTAGCTTATATACTTTTATATACTGATATATACTTTTTCTATTTGTCACATACGGTGGAGATTACCTGATATACTGTTCATAAAACATATAATAGGACGCAATGGATATACGATAGGAGCTGTCAAAACAGGTTAACCTTCAGACACACTGTATTGTCATTCAAAATATATTGTATAACATTTAGTACCATTAATACTTTTGCCATTAAAGTCATATTATAAGGGTCTGTAAAATGCAATAATATTTTGTTGTGGTCAAACAATTCAGTCGTTTTTATTAATAGATAAAATAATACATAAATTAATTGAAAGTTATATATCAATGAGAATCGTAAGATGCACTTATAGTGAGATTAAGTAAAATAGCCATAAATTAGCACAAATTAATCAATAATTTAAATACTAAATCTAATACATAATTTATAAAATATGTAATAATTTATTTTGTTATAACAATTATAGTGATCAGCAATTAATAACATATACTTTGTAATGTTAATAAATAATCATAATTAAATTGTCAATAAATAAAGCCATTAATTTTTGTATATATAAACATTTTGAATCGAAAATTGTTATAACAATTATAGTGATCAGCAATTAATAACATATACTTTGTAATGTTAATAAATAATCATAATTAAATTGTCAATAAATAAAACCATTAATTTTTGTATATATAAACATTTTGAATCGAAAAATTTAAAATAAAATTTATATTTTCAAATAACAATTGTGTGAATGACATCTAAAATATAATTTAATAAAAGCGATACAAAATGAATTAACAAGTTGTTTTAGTATATCTATGCTACGAGTTACAATAAAATGCGTGAAATAAATTGATTACATAAACTTTAGAAAGTATGGGCTCTAGTGTGTGATATTAATATAAAATAGATGTACCCCCAGTTCTAAACATTTATTAGCTAGGATAATATTTTTAATAAAGACTTCATTATTTTACTAACCTATTTATATTTGTATTATGAAAAATAGCAAATAAATAAATGAACAAACAATACAAATATAGCTTATTGTTAGTATTATATAACTGTTTACGAAACTAAAAGTCATTTTTAATAACAATATTGTGTTTTAGAGCTGAGGATAGATCCATAGAAAAATTAAATTACTTTTAAAAATACATTAGATTTTTATCACTTTTATATAATGAAGGAATCGATATATAATGAGCCAAATGTTAAACACCATTCACTTCATTATAAAACCACTCGATTAGCAGGTTAAAATCACAATCAGTTCAGGTAATGATCACATGCTTTCGTTTATCGAAATTGCTGTATATTTTTTAATTCAAGTATTTTTCTAATATAATATATAATTTAGTAAAAGTTATTTCATTTCTAAAATTCCCAAATCGACTAATTATTTATAAATTCTGTAACATTTTGCCAACAATATGTGTTTTGTATATCATACTAATTCTAGTAAATGCATGTCAACAGGGTAAGTCTTTTAAGATACACTTAAAACGTTGTCTTAGTATTAGTGTCAAACGGTTTGTCAAAGATATTACTCTTAGGGCTGACTGTTAGTGTGGTTTCATTGCTGTGTTCAGAGATACTGAAAGACATGTCACTGGAATCAGTCGGATTGAAATACATGGGAGGGCTGGCTATCAATGGTGTGTCAAAAATGTGTTCAGAAATGTCTAATGGTTTGGTGTCAATGGGTTTGTCTGTCAGTGGGTAATAAAAGTCAGTGTCTTTAGGAATAGTGAAAGACTTTTCTTTGCTTTCAATAAGTTTGTCATCAAATTTGGGGCTATTTTTGAGTTCATAATAATCACTCATTTTAGTGGTACTCAAAGGGCTATCATATGTTTCAAACACTGTTTCTTTAGGTTTTGTGTCAATAGATTTGTCAATGATTTGAGAACTGACTACAAATGGCTTGTCTTCAGTAAGTTTAGAAACTTCTGATGATTTGTCTTTACATTCAATTAGTTTGTTATCAGATTTGGAGGTATTTTTGTCACTGAAATCAGTATTACTGAAGGAATTATCATATTCTTGAAACACATTTCCTTTGGGTTTTATATCAAATGGTTTATCAATTGTTTGAGTGTTAGATGTAAATGATTTCTCGTCTGAAGACTTAAAAATATCTGATAATTTGTCTTTACTTTTAATATCTACTTCTTTACCAATTGGTTTCTCATCACTAAGTTTTGAGATTTCTGATGATTTGTCTTTACTTTTAATTAGTTTGTCATCAAAATTGGATCTATTGTTCTCTTCATAATTATCACTCATTTTAGTGGTACTCAAAGGGCTATCATATGCTTTAAAAACTGTTTCTTTAGGTTTTGTTTCAATAGTTTTGTCAGTGATTTGAGAACTAACTACAAATGGCTTGTCTTCAGTAAGTTTTGAGATTTCTGATGATTTGTCTTTACTGTCAATTAGTTTGTCATCAGATTTAGAGCTAATTTTGTCACTGAAATCAGTATTACTGAAGGAATTATCATATTCTTGAAACACATTTTCTTTTGGTTTTATATTAAATGGTTTATCAATTGTTTGAGGACTGAATCCAAATGGTTTCTCATCCATAGGTTTAGAAACATTTAATTCTGTGTTGTCTTTATTTTTAATATCTATTTCTTTATCAATTGTTTTCTCATAAGTAATATTTGAAATTTCTAATGATTTGTCTTTACTGTCAATTAGTTTGTTATCAAATTTGGAGCTTACTTTATCTCTGATTTCAATGGTATTCAAAGAATTATCTTTTGTTTCAATCAGTATTTCGTTGGGTATGATATCAATGGGTATATCATTGGTTTGAGAACTAAATACAAATGGTTTCTCATCAATAGATTTAAATACATCTGATTCGGTGTTGTCTTTACTTTTAATGTCTACTTCTTTCAGAGTCCTCTCAATATCTTTAGTGGTATTCAAAGACTCATCAGTAAAGTCAGAGCCAATACTCAACCGATTTTTATCAATGTTTTCAGCAATGCAATCGGTTTTAGATTCTGTGACTTTATCCACAGAATCTGTATTAGCGCTCACTTTTGGCTCAGATTTATCATTGAGTTCAGACAAACTTAAAGATTTTTCTTTCGTATTATCTATGACTACAGGTGTGTCTCGACTAACATTAGAAGTATCGACAAAATTGTCAAATTCTAATGAATTCTTTTCCATAGGTTTCTCTATAATCTTTGCCTTATTTAAGACATCCAGAGAATCCACAGAATTTATGGATTCTTCTGTGAGTTTAGGACTGAATGCCAACACTTTCTCATCACTAGTTATAGACAAAGATTTGTTTGCTGTGTCAATGGGTTGGTCGACCAAATCAAAGCTCCCTTTCAACTGGTTTTCATTGCTCTGTTCAGAGGGTCTGAAAGACATGTCACTGGAATCAGTCGGATTGAAATACATGGGAGGGCTGGTTATCAATGGTGTATCAGAAATGTGTTCAGAAATGTCTAATGGTTTTGTGTCAATGGGTTTGTCTGTCAGTGGATAATAAAAGTCATTGTCTTTAGGAATATTGAAAGACTTTTCTTTAGATTCATTTTGTTTGTCATCAAATTTGGGGCTATTATTGAGTTCATATTCTGCACTCATTTTAGTAGTCCTTAAAGTGCTGTCATTTGTTTCAAACACTTTTTGATTGAGTTTTGAATCAATAGTTTGGTCGATGTTTAGAGAACTGACTACAAATGGTTCAGAAACATCTAATTCTGTTTTGTCTTTACTTTTAATATCTACTTTTTTATCAATTGGCTTCTCATCACTAAGTTTAGAAACTTCTGATGATTTAACTTTACTTTCAATTAGTTTGTTATCAGATTTGGAGGTATTTTTGTCACTGAAATCAGTATTACTGAAGGAATTATCATATTCTTGAAACACATTTTCTTGGGGTTTTATATCAAATGATTTATCAATTGTTTGAGGACTAAATCCAAATGGTTTCTCATCCATAGGTTTAGAAACATCTGATTCTGTGTTGTCTTTATTTTTAATATCTATTTCTTTAACAATTGTTTTCTCATAAGTAATATTTGAGATTTCTAATGATTTGTCTTTACTGTCAATTAGTTTGTCATCAGATTTAGAGCTATTTTTATCTCTGTTTTCAATGGTATTCAAAGAATTATCCTTTGTTTCAATTACTATTTCGTTGGGTTTGATATCAATGGGCATAAATTTATCATTGGTTTGAGAACTAAATACAAATGGTTTCTCATCCATAGGTTTAGAAACTTCTGATTCGGTGTTGTCTTTACTTTTAATGTCTACTTCTTTATCAACACAAATGTCTTTCAGAGTCTTCTCAATATCTTTAGTAGTATTCAGAGACTCATCAGTAAAGTCAGAGCCAATACTCAACCGATTTTTATCAATGTTTTCAGCAATGCAATCGGTTTTAGATTCTGTGACTTTATCCACAGAATCTGTATTAGGGCTCACTTTTGGCTCAGATTTATCATTGATTTCAGACACACTTAAAGATTTTTCATTAGTATTGTCTATGACTACAGGTGTGTCTCGACTAACATTATCGACAGAATTGTCAAATTCTAATGAATTATCTTCCATAGGTTTCTCTATAATCTTTGCCTTATTTAAGACATTCAAAGAATCCACAGAACCTATGGATTCTTCTGTGGGTTTAGGACTGAATGCCAACACTTTCTCATCACTAGTTATAGCCAAAGGTTTGTTTGCTGTGTCAATGGGTTGGTCGACCAAATCAAAGCTCTCTTTCAACTGATTTTCATTGCTCTGTTCAGAGGGTTTGAAAGACATATCACTGGAATCAGTCAGATTGAAATACATGGGAGGGCTGGCTATCAATGTTGTATCAGAAATGTGTTCAGAAATGGCTAATGGTTTGGTGTCAATGGGTTTGTCTGTCAGTGAGTAACAAAAGTCATTGTCTTTAGGAATAGTGAAAGACTTTTCTTTAGATTCATTTTGCTTGTCTTCAAATTTGGGGCTATTATTGAGTTCATATTCTGCACTCATTTTAGTAGTACTCGAAGTATTATCATTTGTTTCAAACACTTTCTGTATTGTATCAATAGTTTTATCGATGTTTTGAGAATTAACTACAAGTGGTTCAGAAACATCCAATTCTGTGTTATCTTTAGTTATAATGTCTACTTCTTTATCAATTGATTTCTCATCACGTTTTAAGATTTCTGATTTGTCTTTACTTTCAATTAGTTTATCATCAAATTTGGAGTTTATTTTATCACTGATTTCAGTGATATTCAAAGAATTATCTTTTGTTTCATTTACTATTTCGTTGGGTTTGATATCAATGGGTATATCATTGGTTTGAGAACTAAATACAAATGGTTTCTCATCAATAGGTTTAGACATTTCAAATTCCGTATAGTCTTTACTTTTAATATTTACTTTGTCAACACAAATATCATTGTCTTTCAAAGTCTTCTCAATATCTTTAGTGGTATTCAAAGACTCATCAGTAAAGTCAGAGCTAATACTCAACCGATTTTTATCAATGCTTTCAGCAATGAAATCGGTTTTAGATTTTGTGACTATATTTACAGAATCTGTATTAGGGCTCACTTTTGGCTCAGATTTATCATTGATTTCAGACACACTTAAAGATTTATCTTTACTGTCAATTAGTTTGTCATCAGATTTAGAGCTATTTTTATCACTGATTTCAGTGATATTTAAAGAATTATCTTTTCTTTCATTCACTATTTCATTGGGTTTGATATCAATGGGTATATCATTTGTTTGCGAACTAAATACAAATGGTTTCTCATCAATAGGTTTAAATACATCTGATTCGGTGTTGTCTTTACTTTTAATGTCTACTTCTTTATCAACACAAATATCATTGTCTTTCAGGGTCTTCTTAATATCTTTAGTGGTATTCAAAGACTCATCAGTAAAGTCAGAGCCAATACTCAACCGATTTTTATCAATACTTTCAGCAATGAAATCGGTTTTAGATTCTGTGACTATATTTACAGAATCTGTATTAGGGTTCACTTTTGGTTCAGATTTATCATTGATTTCAGACACACTTAAAGATTTTTCATTAGTATTGTTTATGACTACAGGTGTGTCTCGACTAACATTAGAAATATCGACAGAATTGTCAAATTCTAATGAATCCTCTTCCATAGGTTTCTCTAAAATCTTTGCCTCATTTAAGACATCCAAAGAATCCACAGAACCTATGGATTCTTCTGTAAGTTTAGGACTGAATGCCAACACTTTCTCATCACTATATATAGATAGAGGTTTGTCTGCTGTGTCAATGGGCTCCTCTACCAAATCAGAGATCCCTTTCAACTGATTTTCATCGATATTTTCAGTGTCTTTAGATTCTGTGTGTCTGTCAATCAACTGACTTTCTTCAGAGATATTTAAATTTGTGTCTTTACTGTTAGTGTCATTCTGTTTGTCTGTATTTTCAGTGACTTTTGCTGACAATTCATCACTACTTTCGCTGAATCTGTGTGTCTGTCAATCAACTGACTTTCTTCAGAGATATTTAAATTTGTGTCTTTACTGTTAGTGTCATTCTGTTTGTCTGTATTTTCAGTGACTTTTGCTGACAATTCATCACTACTTTCGCTGACACTCAAAGACTTATCTTTAATATTCAATGTTTTGACGGCACTATTGGGTGATGTGTCCGAAGACTTCCGGTCTCTTTGGTTCCAGAGCGAGCCATTCGAATGGATTTGTATCAACACATCGTTGTCCGGCGTTTGTCCTAAACAAGCAAACAATTAATGTCTTTAAATACCACTAATTTACAGCTAATATACTAATAATCAAACAATAATTACCACTAATCGGCGACTTTTCTGTACTAAATCTGCGCTTAACCGGCATTTCGTTATTATTTTCTTCATTCAAATTCTCCTTTGTTTTAGTCGTTTCATGAGTTTGTGGTTTTGGTTGCGATTTCGGCTGCGGTTTCGACACTTCTTTATGTGTGGATTTTGCGACAGTATCTGAGGGCACCGCCTGTTTCGCGAGATTAGCTGCCGCGCCTCCTTAAAGGAGGCGCGGCAGCTAATGTCGCGAAACAGGCGGTGCCCTCAGATACTATCGCAAAATCTACACATAAAGAAGTGTCGAAACCGCAGCCGAAATCGCAACCAAAACCACAAACTCATGAAACGACGAAAGCAAAGGAGAATTTGAATGAAGAAAATAATAACGAAATGCCGGTTAAGCGCAGATTTAGTACAGAAAAGTCGCCGATTAGTGGTAATTATTGTTTGATTATTAGTATATTAGCAGTAAATTAGTGGTATTTAAAGACATTAATTGTTTGCTTGTTTAGGACAAACGCCGGACAACGATGTGTTGATACAAATCCACTCGAATGGCTCGCTCTGGAACCAAAGAGATCGCAAGTCTTCGGACACATCACCCAATAGTGCCGTCAAAACATTGAATATTAAAGATAAGTCTTTAAGTATCAGCGAAAGTAGTGATGAATTGTCAGCAAAAGTCACTGAAAATACAGACAAACAGAATGACACTAACAGTAAAGACACAAATTTAAATATCTCTGAAGAAAGTCAGTTGATTGACAGACACACAGAATCTAAAGACACTGAAAATATCGATGAAAATCAGTTGAAAGGGATCTCTGATTTGGTAGAGGAGCCCATTGACACAGCAGACAAACCTCTATCTATATATAGTGATGAGAAAGTTTTGGCATTCAGTCCTAAACTTACAGAAGAATCCATAGGTTCTGTGGATTCTTTGGATGTATTAAATGAGGCAAAGATTTTAGAGAAACCTATGGAAGAGGATTCACTTGAATTTGACAATTCTGTCGATACTTCTAATGTTAATCGAGACACACCTGTAGTCATAGACAATACTAATGAAAAATCTTTAAGTGTGTCTGAAATCAATGATAAATCTGAGCCAAAAGTGAGCCCTAATACAGATTCTGTAAATACATTCAAAGAATATAAAACCGATTGCATTGTTGAAAGCATTGATAGCAATCGGTTGAGTATTAGCTCTGACTTTACTGATGAGTCTTTGAATACCACTAAAGATATTGAGAAGACTCTGAAAGACAATGATATTTGTGTTGATAACAATGTACAGATTAAAAGTAAAGACAACACCGAATCAGATGTATTTAAACCTATTGATGAGAAACCATTTGTATTTAGTTCTCAAACAAATGATATACCCATTGATATTAAACCCAACGAAATAGTGAATGAAACAACAGATAATTCTGTGAATATCACTGAAATCAGTGATAAAAATAGCTCTAAATTTGATGACAAACTAATTGACAGTAAAGAAAAATCTTTAAGTGTGTCTGAAATCAATGATAAATCTGAGCCAAAAGTGAGTCCTAATACAGATTCTGTAGATATAGTCACAGAATCTAAAACAAATTTTATTTCTGAAAGTATTGATAAAAATCGGTTGAGTATTAGCTCTGACTTTACTGATGAGTCTTTGGATACCACTAAAGATATTGAGAAGACTTTGAAAGACAATGATATTTGTGTTGATAAAGAAGTAAATATTAAAAGTAAAGACTATACGGAATCAGATGTGTCTAAACCTATTGATGAGAAACCATTTATATTTAGTTCTCAAACAAATGATATACCCATTGATATCAAACCCAACGAAATAGTGAATGAAACAAAAGATAATTCTTTGAATATCACTGAAATCAGTGATAAAATTAGCTCCAAATTTGATGATAAACTAATTGAAAGTAAAGACAAATCATCAGAAATCTTAAAACTTAGTGATGAGAAACCAATTGATAAAGAAGTAGACATTATAACTAAAGATAACACAGAATTAGATGTTTCTGAACCACTTGTAGTTAATTCTCAAAACATCGACAAAACTATTGATACAATACAAAAAGTGTTTGAAACAAATGACAGCACTTCGAGTACTACTAAAATGAGTGAAGAATATGAACTCAATAATAGCCCCAAATTTGATGACAAACAAAATGAATTTAAAGAAAAGTCTTTCACTATTCCTAAAGACAATGACTTTTATTATCCACTGACAGACAAACCCATTGACACCAAGCCATTAGGCATTTCTGAACACATTTCTGATACACCATTGATAGCCAGCCCTCCCATGTATTTCAATCCGAATGATTCCAGTGATATGTCTTTCAGACCCTCTGAACAGAGCAATGAAAATCAGTTGAAAGGGAGCTTTGATTTGGTCGACCAACCCATTGACACAGCAAACAAACCTTTGTCTTTAACTAGTGATGAGAAAGTGTTGGCATTCAATCCTAAACCCATAGAAGAATCATTAGGATCTGTGGATGTCTTAAATAAGGCAAAGATTATAGAGAAGTCTATGGAAGAGAATTCATTAGAATTTGACAATTCTGTCGATACTTCTAATATTAGTCGAGACACATCTGTAGTCATAGACAATACTAATGAAAAATCTGAAATCAATGATAAATCTGAGCCAAAAGTGAGCCCTAATACAGATTCTGTGGATAAAGTCACAGAATCTAAAACCGATTGCATTGCTGAAAGAATTGATAAAAATCGGTTGAGTATTGGCTCTGACTTTACTGATGAGTCTTTGAATACCACTAAAGATATTGAGAAGACTCTGAAAGACAATGATATTTGTGTTGATAAAGAAGTACACATTAAAAGTAAAGACAACACCGAATCAGATGTGTCTAAACCTATTGATGAGAAACCATTTGTATTTAGTTCTCAAACCATGAATACCCATTGATATCAAACCCAACGAAATAGTGAATGAAACAAAGGATAATTCGTTGAATACCATTGAAATCAGAGATAAAGTTATCTCCAAATTTGATGATAAACTAATTGACAGTAAAGACAAATCATTAGAAATCTCAAATCTTACTTATGAGAAACCAATTGATAAAGAAATAATTCTTTGAATACCATTGAAATCAGAGATAAAGTTATCTCCAAATTTGATGATAAACTAATTGACAGTAAAGACAAATCATTAGAAATCTCAAATCTTACTTATGAGAAACCAATTGATAAAGAAGTAGATATTAAAAATAAAGACAACACAGAATCAAATGTTTCTAAACCTATGGATGAGAAACCATTTGGATTTAGTCCTCAAACAATTGATAAACCATTTGATATAAAACCAAAAGAAAAAGTGTTTCAAGAATATGATAATTCCTTCAGTAATACTGATTTCAGTGACAAAAATAGCTCCAAATCTGATAACAAACTAATTGAATGTAAAGACAAATCATCAGAAGTTTCTAAACTTAGTGATGAGAAACCAATTGATAAAGAAGTAGATATTAAAAGTAAAGACAAAACAGAATCAGATGTTTCTGAACCATTTGTAGTCAGTTCTCTAAACATCAACAAAACTATTGATTCAAAACTCAATCAAAAATTGTTTGAAACAAATGATAACACTTTGAGTACTACTCAAATGAGTGCAGAATATGAACTCAATAATAGCCCCAAATTTGAAGACAAGCAAAAGGAAAAGTCTTTCAATATTCCTAAAAACAATGACTTTTATTATCCACTGACAGACAAATCCGTTGACACCAAGCCATTAGGCATTTCTGAACACATTTCTGATACACCATTGATAGCCAGCCCTCCCATGTATTTCAATCCGAATGATTCCAGTGATATGTCTTTCAGACCCTCTGAACAGAGCAATGAAAATCAGTTGAAAGGGAGCTTTGATTTGGTCGACCAACCCATTGACACAGCAGACAAACCTTTGTCTATAACTAGTGATGAGAAAGTGTTGGCATTCAGTCCTAAACCTACAGAAGAATCCATAGGTTCTGTGGATTCTTTGAATGTCTTAAATAAGGCAAAGATTATAGAGAAGCCTATGGAAGAGAATTCATTAGAATTTGACAATTCTGTCGATACTTCTAATGTTAGTCGAGACATACCTTTAGTCATAGACAATACTAATGAAAAATCTTTAAGTGTGTCTGAAATCAATGATAAATCTGAGTCCAAATCTGAACCAAAAGTGAGTCCTAATACAGATTCTGTGGATAAAGTCACAGAATCTAAAACCGATTTCATTGCTGAAAACATTGATAAAAATCGGTTGAGTATTGGCTCTGACTTTACTGATGAGTCTTTGAATACCACTAAAGATATTGAGAAGACTCTGAAAGACAATGATATTTGTGTTGATAAAGAAGTACACATTAAAAGTAAATATTTCTTTGAATACCATTGAAATCAGAGATAAAGTTATCTCCAAATTTGATGATAAACTAATTGACAGTAAAGACAAATCATTAGAAATCTCAAATCTTACTTATGAGAAACCAATTGATAAAGAGGTAGACATTAAAAATAAAGACAACACAGAATTAAATGTTTCTAAATCTATGGATGAGAAACCATTTGGATTTAGTCCTCAAACAATTGATAAACCGTTTAATATAAAACCAAAAGAAAATGTGTTTCAAGAATATGATAATTCCTTCAGTAATACTGATTTCAGTGACAAAATTAGCTCTAAATCTGATGACAAACTAATTGAAAGTAAAGACAAATCATCAGAAGTTTCTAAACTTACTGAAGACAAGCCATTTGTAGTCAGTTCTCAAATCATTGACAAATCTATTGACACAAAACCTAAAGAAACAGTTTTTAAAGCATATGATAGCCCTTTGAGTACTAATAAAATGAGTGATAATTATGAAGAGAACAATAGATCCAATTTTGATGACAAACTAATTAAAAGTAAAGACAAATTATCAGATATTTTTAAGTCTTCAGACGAGAAATCATTTACATCTAACATTCAAACAATTGATAAACCAATTGATATAAAACCAAAAGAAAAAGTGTTTCAAGAATATGATAATTCCTTCAGTAATACTGATTTCAGTGACAAAAATAGCTCCAAATCTGATAACAAACTAATTGAATGTAAAGACAAATCATCAGAAGTTTCTAAACTTACTGAAGACAAGCCATTTGTAGTCAGTTCTCAAATCATTGACAAATCTATTGACACAAAACCTAAAGAAACAGTGTTTGAAACATATGATAGCCCTTTGAGTACCACTAAAATGAGTGATTATTATGAACTCAAAAATAGCCCCAAATTTGATGACAAACTTATTGAAAGCAAAGAAAAGTCTTTCACTATTCCTAAAGACACTGACTTTTATTATCCACTGACAGACAAACCCATTGACACCAAACCATTAGACATTTCTGAACACATTTTTGACAC